GATTCATGGAGTTAGCTGGATCACCCTTTTAGTCGGAGGTGGAGGTAAGAGCTAGTGGCTGACTGTTTTGCTTTTCTAATCTTCAGCTAAAGCTTGAACCCCAATATCAGTCTTTGGGTTTTTACTAATCATGTTACACACAGTATCTTGCTTCCCATTTCCATTTCAGTCTTCAAAATAGTTCCTGTCATAGAGCATCAGCTAAGTGATAAATAACTATTGCTAGACCTTGTGGTATAAGCTTTTTCCAACCAGTTGGGAGGGAGAGGCATGTAGATCTCTGTAATTTTGAGACTGGCTCAGTTTACAAAGAGACTTCCAAGCCAGCCATGAGTACGGAGTGAGACCTTGTCTCAAAATAAATAAATAGTTGTGAATAATATGCAGAATAGAAATAATATGTTGCTTTCATTTCTTGTTATGGTGAATCTTGACAAATCAAAGGTATCAGGCATGTAAAATCAAACATGTATGTGTGTTTCTTCTAATTTTTCTTAATTTTAAAAATTCTGGTTTGCTTGGATATTTTGTCTGTTTGTTTTCTGAACAAGGAGAGAAAGGGCATAGAATTGGATGGCAAGGGAGGTACATATGATCTGGGAGGAGTTAGGGGAAGGGTAAACTGTAATCAGTCTACATTGTATGAATTTCTCCAATGAAAAGGGAAAACAAACAAGCATTTGATGATACATTATATAATTCTTCATTCAAAATTAAGAAGCATTGAGCACTGTTCCAATAGATTTTTAAATGACAGAATGATAACATCCAGTGTTTTGGTGTCCTTCTATAATGAAAATCTCCTAATTCTTTTGATTGCACATATATTTAAGAATACGATGTAAGTTGGCTTTCAATGTAGCTCAATAGTGGAACATTTGCTTGCATATTCAAAGTCCTGATTTTGATCCCCAACAATGAAAACTAGAAAAGTTATATATTTGGGGAAATATATATACATATATATTTTGCATAAAATTCTTCAAGCTGCTATTGATTTGTAGATTCTACATTAAGAGAAACTGAGGTAGAATATTGCCAGAGGATAATTTCTAATTTCCTTAATGTTCAATAATTGTATGTGGCTTAGTTAGAAAAGAAGAGATGAAGTAATGTGTTTGGAGGCAATAGGTGATGAGAGATAAATGGAATATGCTAAAATTTCAAGAACCCAACTAGATAGCTATAATTAATAGTACCTAATGGGAGATATAAATTCATATACTTAGTCAACAATAAAGTTGATAGTTTGATAAGGGATACTATTGTGATATCACAGAAGTAAGCTAATCTGCTTGGAGACTATATAAAATAGAAAGGAGTAGGTGATGGTTTAGATTATTTTGCACCCAGGTACAACATTCTAGGTGCTAGACTTTCAGAAGCATATGAACAAATCTCTTCAGAGATGCTAGACATGTGTAAAAGAGAAACGTGAAATTTTCTAGCAAGTGGATGGAACTAGAAAAAAAAGTCACTTTGAGTGAGGCAACCCAGACCCAGAAACACAAACATGGTAGATATTAGGGATACAGTGTAGGACAAGCTACCTACAATCCACAACCCGAGAGAGGCTAGATAACTTGAAGGCCCCAAAGAGGAATGCATGAATTTCCCTGGGAAGAACAAATATAAAAGGTCTGGGTAAACTGGGGGCATGGAACACACATGGGATAGGGAAATGGGAACATGAGGGAGGCATATTGGTGGGTACAACTGAGAGGGGGAGTAATGAAAAAGAAGTTTTGATGAAGGGATTTGGGATTATGGAGAAACCTAGTACTAGGAAATCTCCCAAGAATCCACAAGGATAATCCTAACTAAGACTCCTAGCAATAGTGGAGAGGGTGCCTGAGCTGGTCATCTACTGTAATAAGATTGGTGACTACTCTAATTGTCATCAGAGAACCTTTATCCAGTAACTGATGGAAGCAGATACAGAGCTCCATATCCAAGTACTGGGCTGAGCACTTTGGAAAAAAGGGAGGAGGGATTTTATGAGCTGGGGAGGGGGGTGTTCAAAGTTATGACTGAGGAACCCACAGAGGCATAATCAATTTCTTTCTTCAAAGATTTGAAGTTTTTGTCTCACAGGTTTTTCACTTGCTTGTCTACAGTTACTCCCAAGATATTTTATATTATTTGTGGGTATTTTAAAAGGTGTTGTTTCCCTGGATTCTTTCTCACCTAGTTTGTCATTTGTATATAGGAGGGCTACTGCTTTTTTTTAATTAATCTTGTATCCAGCCACTTTGCTGAAGGTATTTATAAGCTGTAGAACTTTCCTTATAGAATGTTTGGGATCACTTGTGTATACAATCATATCATCTGCAAATAATGATTCTTTGACTTCTTCCTTTCCAGTTTGTATCTCCTTGATTTTCTTATTGCTCTAGTTACAACTTCAAATACTATATTGAATATATATAGATAGGTTAGACAACTTTGTCTGGTTCCTGCTTTTAGTGGGATTGCTTTGAGTTTCTCTTCATTTAATTTGATGTTGCCTATAGGCTTGCTATAAGTTGCCTTTGTTATGTTTAGGTATGTTCCTTGTATCCCTATTCTCTCCAAGACTTGTCATGAAGGGGTGTTGGATTTTATCATGGTCTTTACCAGCATCTCATAATATGATCATGTGTTTTTTTTCTTTCAGTTTGTTAATATGGTGGATTATATTAAGAGATATCTGTATGTTAAACCATCCTTGCATCTCTGAGATGAAATCTACTTGGTTATGTTAGATGATATTTTGATGTGTTATTGGATTTTGTTTGCAAGTAATTTATTGAGTATTTTTGCATCTGTGTTCATGAGGGAAATCGATCTGTAATTCTTTCTTTGTGGAGCCTTTGTGTGATTTGGGCATCAGTGTGATGGTTACCTCATAAAAATAATTTGGCAGTGTTCCTTCTGTTTCTATTTTGTGGAATAATTTGAGAAGTGTTGGCATTAGCTCTTTTAAAGTCTGGAAGAATTCTGTGCTAAAACGGTCAGACCCTGAGCTTTTTTTGGTTGAGAGATTTTAATGACTGCTTCTATTTCCTTGGGTGTTAAAGGTTTCTTCCAATTCTTTATTTGATCTAGATTTAACTTTGATAAGTGGTATCTATCAAGAAATGTCTGATTCTTTTGTGATTTTCCAATTTTGTGAAATTCGGGTTGTTTAAGTACGATGTAATGATTCTTTGTTTTCCCTCAGTGTCTGTTGTTAATTTCCCCTTTTCATTTCTTATTGTTGATTTGGATATTCTCTCTCTGCATTTTAGTTAGTGGGGTTTCTCTATCTTGTTGATTTTTCTCAAAGAACCAACTCTTTGTTTCATTGATTCGTTGAATTGTTCTCTTTGTGGCTATTTCATTGATATCAGCCCAGAGTTTGATTAGTTCCTGCAATCTGCTCCCTTGAGTGTTATTTCTTCTTTTTGTTCTAGAGCATTTAGGCATACAATTAAGCTGATAATATGAGATTTCTCCAATTTTTTTCATGTAGTCATTGTTGTTTGCTGCAGCTTTGGGCGATAAAACACGAACAACAAAACTCAATAAAACCCACGTGGAGTTTATTAGGAAATTGAGCAAAGGGAGGGGTAGGTGTTGGCCAACTAGGAACAGAGTTGAAAGGAGAAGGCTAAGGGGAAAAACGGGTAAGAAAGGGTGAACAGGTGGGAGTCGCTCACTTAAAAGGAAAAGCTTGCCCATGTGTACAGAGTCCTTACGCAGCCAGGTAATGCATGACATAGCCACACAACACAGGGCCCTTTAAGCTGTCTAAGTATCTGCCTGAATGCAAGTTGTCAGGGGCCGGGGTCAGCACAATACCAGGATATCAACGGGAATTGCTATGAATTTCTTTCATTGTTTCTCATCAGTTTTAGTATGTTGTATTTTCATTTTAATTCAATTTTTAAAAGTTTTTAATGTCTGTCTTGACATATTTTTCATTCAGTGGTGAGTTTTCTAGTTATCCTGAGTTTGTAGGCTTTCTGTTGGTGATATCCAGATAGGATGCAAGGTTGTATGTTGAGACTTTCTTTGTGTACAAGTATGTGGTCAGTTTTGGAGAACGTTCCATCAGCTGCTCAGAAGAAAGTATATTGTTTTGTGTTTGTTTAAAAAGAAGGAATGTGATTAACACAAACTAGGAGCTGGCTAGGAAAGCTATCACATCACTGATTGGACTAAGCCTGGGAGGTAGGAGAACTCCCAATACAGGAATGATGACTCTTTAAAAATTCGTACCCATTTCCTTCTCTCAGGTTAATGGCATTCATTGCCATCTAATGTTTGCTACTAATTATAGGTCCATTTTGGTACATTAGATTAAATTAAATTTCCATCTTAATCTAATATCTTGTCAAAGCATCTGCAGATGCAGACATACTAAAGCTTAGGGGAGCTTTGGGATTTTGTGTGTGTGTGTGTGTGTGTGTGTGTGTGTGTGTGTGTGTGTGTTGGCTTTTTTCTGAGACATACTTTTCTGTGTGTAATCCCAGCTGTCCTGAAACTCTGTAGACCAGGATGGCCTTGAACTCAGAGATCTGCCTGAGTCTGCCTCCAGAGTGCTGGGATTAAAGGCAGCAGGTACCTCTATTGCCCCATTCTTTGTTGATTTTAAATAATGTTTGTTACAATTGTTCTCTGACAATTTCATGTATGTACACAATGCACTGTGATCACTCTTGTCTTCCTTTTTCCCTTCAATCATGTCTTTGTCTTTTGTTTTGTGATACCCTGGCTTTATCCAGGCCCATTCGTGTTGACTTTTTTAAAGACTTTAATCCTCAATGCTTCTCCCAAGTCCAAAGGATATTGCCTGAGGTTCAGTGATTAAGTGGAAAATCATCTTACCCATGTAAGTCTGCAATATAAATTTAGAATGATTGACACAAGCAACAAAACCCCACTTCTTCCTTGTATTTTGTGGTTAACCCCTCATGACCCATAATAATGACCTTAATAAGGTAATTTAACGCTTACATAGCAACCTTCCTTGATGACCCAGCCACAGAAGATAAACTGCTAGGTTTTAATTCAGCAAATTCACATGTCATTCATAATAATTTCCATTTTTAAAGTGATCCAATTTCCTGGGTAAATTATGTTTGAAAAAAATCCTTATTACCTTCTTGGTAATTCTTCAGGAAAAAGCAGTTCCTGGGGATAGTTTTGATGACGTCTTTCCAATAAATCAGAAATTTCTTCTCTAAAGGATCTCCTCTTACCAGATAAAATTCTTCCTTTTGAGATTGGCTAAGGGTCTTCTGGGCTGGGTGAAGAGCACTGTAAACAGAATGCAACACTCTATCATTCTCATTGGATGATTCCCTTACAAATGAAAACAGCTTGTTAAGTAGAGATGTGGCATGGCCATTTTCCATGGCTGTGCTGAAATCCATTAGGGAGAAGATGGTGTAAGGTTCAAAACAACCTTATCCTATCTCCTTTTTAAATTCGATGGTATTTGAGAGTATTTGTAAATTTAAAATGCATCTAAAAAAGAATAGGTACTCAGAAAGTAGTGTTATCAAAAATCAATAAAAGTAGTAATAACTGTAATATTTCCAAGTGTGTTTTTTCATAAGGAACTAAAAGTGTGTTTATTATGATTGCTTTCATCATTCCAACATTACAGGAACTTGTTATATTCCCTTGATGTTATTAAATCTTTGGCTAAATCTGGGCACTTTAGCAACGAAATAGAAAGATAATCTTATTGGGAACAGGCAAAAGTTATGTTGGTAGGTCCCTTTCCTCCTCATCTCTGCATGAGTCAGATACTTTGAAAACAGTGACTGAATATTAACTGAAGCCCATTAATTTATGTGAAAAGTTTTCAGATGCTCTTAGAAAAAAATATACATAGTGACCATTGCAGCAATTTAAAAAACATATTACATTCAGAAACTTATGAATTTTAAAAATAAATAGTTGAAAGACAAAGTATGAAACATAAATAATTTTGGAATTTGTTACCTGCATTGCTGTCCTGTTAAAACTAAAATAAATTTAATAGTAACACAACTTGGATTTTTTTCAAGATCAAATGCATTTTTAAAGATTTACTTACTTTATTATTATATTTTAATATTTCAAGATTAATGTGAGTACATTCTTTCCCTTCCTTCCTTTTGACCTCCAGTGTAACTGCTTTTGCTTTCTATCAAATTTGTGGACTTTTTTTCTTTACTTGTAGATAGATAGATAGATAGATAGATAGATAGATAGAGATATTAATGTTTTGCTTGCGATCTAACAAAGAAAGCTTGCCTGAGGATCAGATTATGGAGCTAAGCCACTAGTTAGCCATATAGGTCAGGCGCTGTTAGCACACACCTTTAATCCCAGCACTCTGGTAGGTGGCGGAGGTAGATGTATCTCTCCAAATTCAAGGCCACCCTGGGCTATCCAAGATTGATCAAGTCTAAAAAAGAAATAGCGCCAGGTGGTGATGGCTCACACCTTTAATCCCAGCACTAAGGGGTAGAGCCAGGAAGGGATACAACTGGGCAGAGATCGAAATATAGGGTAGGAGGAGACAGAAGGCAACAAATTCAGTCTAAGGAATAATGGAGACAGGATCTTGGTCACTTTAATTTAAGGGTCTGATAGAGGTAAAAAGGTCTCTCTAGTGGCTGGCTCCTTTACTTCCCTCATCTTTCAGCATTTACCCCAATATCTGACTCCAGGTTTTTAATATTAAGACCAATTAGAACTCACGATACATATATGTGTTTGTGTGTGTGTGTGTGTGTGTAAAGTTTTTGAACTCTTATTTACTTATTAATATATATATTCCTAAATATATAAATACAAGCATCTTAGTCTGTATAATGTTGCTTGTATGTATCTGTTTAGGGATAAACATTTACTATTGAATACTTAATTAATATGCTCTTCCTTTGGTAGTAATACTTCCCCCACTCTCAGCATTACTTAGTTGCCTGTAGATCTTTGTGTAAAACTGGGGGCTTATGAGCTTCCCCCTTCCACATTAGCATGTCTATTGGTGTCTTTATTGTTCATGACATATTTAGCTGACCATGTTAGTAAAACTCCATCAATATAACTTCTCTGACATTTCTAGGAGACACAATCTCACTGCAAATTTTCTGTTCATCTGACTCTTACAATCATTCCATCCCATCTTTCAATATGATTCCTGAACCTAAGGTTCAGGAGTTCTGTTGTGTTGTAGATGTATCAGATGGGACTCTGTATTTTGATCAGTTGTGGTTTTCTCATATGTTCTCCATCTGTGTGTGTGTGTGTGTGCACGCACATGTGCGTGTGTATGCATGTATTATGTATGTGTGTATATATGTATATGTGTATATATACTCACATGCATTAACTTATTGTATTTTGCATGAATCTGTGTGCACATGTGTATAGGTGATGGAAGAATGCCAAAGAGCATAAGATGCCTGGGTACTGGAGTTTCAGGTGGCTGGGAGTCATGTGATATGAGTGCAGGGAATTAAGCCTTGGTCCTCTTCAAGAATAGTAAGTACTCTTAACTGCTGAACCACATCTCTACACCTTGAAAATCATGTATTTGAAAAAATATTTCTATTCTAGAAATAAAATAGAGCTATGATTGCCTGTATTCCAATTTATAGTAGACTCAGCAATTGAAAGCAACCAAGAACTTCCAAATAAGTGGCAACATGAAAGTACTAAGAGCTAGAAGTACAGATTATTTTATAAGTCTTGTGTTTGTGCTTGTTTTGTTACTCATAGAAAAGGAGCTAAATTTGACACACTCTGTCCTCTCTCATAGGAAGAAGAAATACTAATGGAGTAGCCTAGATAACAACAAACTTTAGAAGGGTAGAAAGAAATTGAGAGATCAGTGGAAAACAATGGAAGGAGAGAACACAGAGGAAAAGAAAACTGATGCTGTAAAGCACAGGAAAGGCAGAAAGCAGAGAGACAGCAGTGATGCAGGAAAGAAATGAGGTCTCATCTAGTGAGTGATCTGGGGACTTACAGCCAAAGGGGAAGCCAATCCCTCACTAACAACTGAGATAATTGTAGAGTTAGAGTCATCAGGACAGAAGAAAAGAAAGTAATCTGAATGTAGTTACTCGAGGTGCCTATAGTACTCCCAACCTTAGTGGTTTCTGAAGGTTTATTATATAAAACAGTAAAATAGTTGATATGTATAAAGCCCCAAATCAACCTTATTCATTAAAACAGCTTTATGAATGCTGTGATGCTTACAAAGTATTTTAGTACAGTTTCTATTGTAAACAGTCATTTTGTCCTTTAAGTCTTGAAGGAAAAAGCTTCAGATCTTTGGGAAAAATTGCAAATCACTTAATGCCCACATCATGTAAGACAACTGAATGATTATTCTATATAGAAAACCCACAAACTGTCAAATGTCCTTTGAAGTGATGTTAATGCGTGAATATGGATGGGGCTAGGGCAGATTCTTGACTGACACATTAGATGCAGTACACTACAGTCTTTAAGCATAAAAGTTCTGGAGCCAGACAGTCTAGCTTCAAGTCCTGGCCCTGTCACTTGCTAATCTCTCCTTGGTGACATCATACTAAATAACAGCTTAGGTGAAAGAAAATCCTGAAAAATATTTGGTTTATATTTTTCATTATATTTTGCTTAGCATAAAAATAATGTATTTCATTATGATGTGTTCATATACGCATTTGTATTTTGCTTGTGTTTGCTCTAGGTAAATTTTCGCTGGTTTTGTATCTCAGTTTCATTTTTTATTGAAAGTCATTTTTCCACACTGTATACTCTGATCACAGTTTCACCTCCCTCATCTCTCCGATCCTTCACATCTGCCCACCTCCACAGCCACCAACTACATGCCTTCTTTGTCTCTCTCTCTAGAAAACAAGCATGAAAATTAAACAGAATTTTGAAAAGAATGAAAGAAAGTGTATAAGAAATGCACACATATACAAAGAGAGAGATACCAACACAAAACCCCTAAAAACACAAAGTCAGAAATCATAATATATATATACCAGAAAAAGACCAGTAATGTTAAAATTCCCAAACAAAGAAATATGAGACAAAGGTCTACAAAAATATCATTGAGTTGTTTTGGTGTTGGCCATCTAATGTTGGGCCTAGGTCCTGCCCTTAACTGTGTTTTATATACCCAGTGAGATACCATTGGAAAAAAACTATTTTTTTCCTTTGCGAGTGGTAGTCAATTGGAAATAGCTACTTGGTTAGGGATAGGACCTTGCGTCACCTTTCCCCTCTCAGCACTGGGACTCCATATGACTTGGACCTGTGTAGGTTTTGGGCATGCTGCCACAGACTCTGTGAGTTCATGTGTGCGTCAGTACTGTTGTGTCTGGAAGATGCACTCTTTTCTTGATGTCATCCAGTCCCTCTGGCTCTTACAATCTTTCTGCCTCATCTTCCAAATAGCTCCCTGAGTCCTGAGGGCAAGGGTTTGATGCAAACATCCTATATGGACTGAGTGTTCCAAGGTCTCTGACTCTGAACATTATGGTATCTCAGTTTCTTCTTCTAAAAAATGTAGTTAACAAATGTTGCCTACTTCATTTAGTGCCTGAGACTCTGACAAATGTGAGATCAACATAGTGCCCAGGATATAGTAAATACTTGATAAACTTGAGCAATGTTAGCATTGTATACCATTTGGACTTGTCAAATTATCTGCCAGCCATTAGGTCTCCTCATTCTAATGCCTACTTTGCACTGACTTCATATCTTTGTTTCATAGCTCTCCGATCTGTAACAGCCCATTCTATTATTTCAGTCTAACAGTTCCTTTCACAAAGTGTTACCTTTCTCTCAATAGTAATATTAATTATGGGTTAGGGTTATCAGCCTCATCTTTCAGACAAGAAAACCAAAGTTCAGTCAGCTAAGAAAATACTGCCTTATGGAAAAGTTTTACAGCTGTGCCTCTGACTCAGCATCCAGTAATAAGCCTTGGAGTTAAGCAGTCAGCAATAACTTCATTCTGGTCTCTAGGTAGTACTTCTTCCTCTCTGTCTGCCATAACCAAAAGCCACAGAAATCAATGTTAAAACATCGAAAGTTCCAAATGATTCTATATTTCCCATGTATGCTGTATTTTTGGTAGGAGTTGGAAGAGACTTTTCAGATTCTTCAAAACCACATCTATGCTTCTATCTGAATAACCTAAAGGCAAACAAGAATGATTTGATATCGATCACTTGAAGAAGAGAGTCAGTGTTAAGTAAATCCAAAACAAAATGGTTTTTCTCTGCTTATTAGGGAAAAATGACATAGAAATATTCATA